ATCCACACTAGCCAGGGATTATGTATAATTATTTTATGGTGTTGTCCAAGTCCTTTATTTTATACTTTTTTGTATAATTTTTCTATGCATTATTGAAAATAATGTATTGAAGTTGCTTATTATACAGAAGTGACTGTGTTTTGTTTCAATATTGTCATCATTTGCTTAATATCTTTTGCAGTGCTTATTTTGGTGCATATGTATGTTTATAGTTGTTCTATCATCTTGATGAATTAGCCATTTCATTGATATGTGTACAGTTTAGTGACACTAAGTTCATTCTCATTGTTGTATGACCATAATCACCATCCATCTCTTGAAATATTTTATCTTCTCAAACTAAAATTCTGTCATTGTTAAACAGTAACTTCCCATTACCTCCTCCCCCCAGTCTCTCGAAACCAGAGTCTACTTTGTTTCTGTTAATTTGATTACTCTAAGGTAACTTATATATACATACAGTCATACAGTATTTGTTCTTTTGGCTTATTTACTTAGCATAATATCTTCAAGTCTGATTCATGATGTAATGTATTTTTTGTGTGTGTGATGACTTGTTTTGATTGCCTTCTCATTTCCTTTTTTTTGTATATTCTATAAATATCTTCCTTCTGGTTACCTTGGGGATCCCATATAACATCCTAAATTATGTGTAGTTAAAGAACAGTTTTGTCAGATATAATATTCTCAGTTGACAGTGTTTTTAGTACTTTAAGTATAGTATTCTTACACTTTATGGTCTGCAGGGGTTTTGATGAGAAATTGGCTAATAATTTTATTGAGAATGCCTCATTTGTGATGAGTCATTTCTTGCTGTTTTCAGGATTCTTTCTTTGTTTTTGATTATAAATAGTTTGTTAATATATCTTGTGTGGTTGTCCTTGGTTTATCCTTCTTGGAGTCTGTTGAGCATCTTGAACTGGTTAATTTCATTTATTTTTCCAAATTTGGGAAGTTTTAAGCCATTATGTCTTTAAAAAAACAAAACAAAACAAAACAAAACATACAAACAAAAAAACCCCATCTGCCTTTTTCTGTGACTGCCATAACATGTCCTTTGGTCTGATTGATGTGTCATACAAGTCTCTTAGGTTGTTTGCCCTTTTTTCTTTTATTCTCTCCTTCTCTACCTTGATAATATCAATCACACTTTCTCAAGTTCATGGATTCTTTTTTTTCCACCTTCTCAAATCTGTTGTTGAACTCCTCTAGTGAATATTTCAGTTATCAAAATTTTCGGCATTAGAAGTTTTATGTGGTTCCATCTTATTCTTTATGTTTGTTGTTTATCTGTTTTATGGATTTCCTTTAGTTTTTATCTGTGTTTTCCTTTACCTCTTTGAGTTTATTTAAGACTACTGGTTTATTTTTTAATTTTAATTTTTTATTATTATTTTATTTTTGTTCAATTAAAGTTGTCCCGCCTTTTTCCCCATAGCTCTCCCCTGCCCTGCCTGCTCCATGCTCCCACAGTCAATCACCACCCCATTGTCCATGCCTATGAGTCCCCTATTCATGTTTTGAAGTTTTTGTTTTGTTAGTCTATTGTCTGGGCTCTCTTGCAGATAGTTTCTGTTGATTTATCTTGTTCCTTTGACTGCACCATGTTTTCCTTGTTTCTTTGTATGTCTTTTAATTTGTTGTTGAAAATTGAACACTTTGGGATGGGAGGGAGGGAGGAAGGGGAAGGGGGAGGGTCAGATCAAGGAACAGATGTGAAGGACACATGGACAAAGCCAAGGTGGGGAAGGACTGAGGAGGGGAGGTGGGGGTCGGTGGGGCAGGGGAAAGTGGTGGCAGGTAAATGGGGACAAATGTATGTGAAAAATTTAAATAAATAAATAAATAAATTTTAAAAAAGAAATTAAAATACTTTACAATTATAAAAAAGTAATTCTGAAAATTAAGTTCCCTCCCTACTATTTGATTTTTATTCTTTATGTATTTAATAGTTCTTTTCTTTTCCATCATTTTAATTAAATGTATTAAAGTGACATTGGTTAATAAAATTATGCAGGTTTAAAGTGTACATTTCCATGATACATGATCTGCATGTTGCTTTGTGTACCTACCACCCCAAGTCATATCATTTTCAGTCACCATATATTTGGCCCCCTTCATGCTTTACCACCCACCTATCCCCTCTTCCTTCTGGTAACCACCATGCTGCTGTCAGTGTCTGTGAGTTTTTGTTTTTACTGTTTGTTCATTTGTTGCTGTCAGTTTTATAACCCACATATGAATGAAATCATATGGTTCTTACTTTTTCTGTCTGACATTTCACTTATCATGATATTCTCAAGGTCCATTTATGTCTTTACAAATGGCAGTATTTGATCTTTTCTTATGGCTGAGCAGTAATTCCATTGTATATATGTACCACATCTTCTTTATCCAGTCCTCTATCAAAGGACACTATGGTTATTTCCAAGTCTTGGGCACCATGAATAATGTTGCAGTGAACATAGGGGTGCATATATCTTTGCAAATATATGTTTTCAAATTTTTCTGGTAGATACCCAGAAAATGGTTTGATGAGTCATATGGTAACTCTATTCTTAAATTTTGAAGGAACCTACATACTGTTTTCTGTAGTGGCTGTACCAGTTTACATTCCCACCAGCAGTGAATGAGGGTTCCTTTTTCTCCACAACCTGTCCACCACTTGTTATTACTTGTCTTGTTGATAATAAACTTTTTCAAACTATTTTTCACAAGAAAACTATTAATTCTTATGTGTGCTCAGTGACATTTCTGGGTTGTTTAATTATTATTTTTTAGCTCATGTTCAGCTTATGTTTTGACAGAGATTTTCTTGAATACTAGGAGCTCAAACAAAGAACACCAAAGAATTAAACAAACACAAAGAGAAAATACTCAATTCTCCCGGTCTTTGCTGACTGGGTCTGTGCTGGGGCAATCCTTCACCAGTTGGCTAGATTACTCTGAGTCCAGGGATCAGCATGTGTGAAGAGGTTAGGCTATTTTCCTATCTTTTATGAGATGTCTTATCTGGCCAAGCACTTGGTTTTCTAAATTTCTTCATATAAATGGCTGCTTTTTAATGTCTTAAATTACCAGATTCTCATCCCAGTTTCTCCCTCAGGCCTTAAATGTTCTATTGTTTGTCTCCACCTGTATGTGCTTCCTTGCCCCAGGTGTCTTGATTTGTAGTCTTCTTATAGCTTTCACAAGCAGCACCTGCCATTTCTCACACAAGATAGAGACCAAAAATTCAGTACTTCAATTACTTCCTAGATTAGAACAGATGTACACAAAAATTTTCAAATTACGCTTGCTCTTTTTCCTCTGGTTTGCGGATGGAAGCTAGAAACTGGACTACTATTGGCTCAAGACCAGTATCTTCACCATGTCAGAGAGCATGTGAGGTAAGTGTGTATAAAAGCAAAAACTTCCATATTGTTTAAAGATAGCTTTTCCTTGATTGATAATTTGCTTTGTTGCTGTAAGCCTTTGATTGTTTTTAAGAGTTCCTAAAATTGGTTCAGATGCTTCTTAATCATTCTGATTATTGCTATTATTATTCAATATTTCTGTGAGAGAATGAAATCTTGGAACTTCTTAGTGCCTCATTTTGCTGAAGCCACTCTCTAGGGTATTTTTGACCAGATAATTCTCACCAGAATTGTGGCAACAACCCCTGGATACTTCAATTGTAGTTCAAAAGATGCACTATAGATAAAGTTATGCTAAATGCTTCAGAAGGCATATGGAATTCATTTTTAAGCTTTTATATAGTTGACATTATTTTAAAATCTTCTCCCAGTTCCACCTATATACCAGTTTAACCTCCTCATCTATAATTCATACACCATAGGAAGAAATCATTATTAGAGAAATGGGAAAAGCAAACCAGTTGACCAATATAACATTTTTAATTTTTTATTGTTGACATTATTACAGATGTCCCTCATCCCCTCCTTTTGCCCTCTCCACCCCATCCTTGCCCCCTGGCCTTTATCACATTGTCTGTGTTCATTGGCTATGCATATATGTATATATGTTATTTGGCTAATCTTTTCATTTCTCCCACCCTCTTCCCCTCTGAGATCTATGAGTCTGTCCCTTATATCATTGCCTCTGGTTTTATTTTGTTCATCAGTTTATTTTGTTCATTAGATTCCAGATATGAGTGAGATTATATGGTACTTACCTTTCACTGATTGGCTTATTCATTTAGCATAATGATTTCCAGGTCCATCCATGCTGTCACAAAGGGTAAGAGATCTCCTTTCCTATAGTCATGTAGTATTCCATTGTGTAAATTTACCAAAGATTTTTTTATCCACTCATCTACTAATGGACACTTTGTCTGGTTCCAGACCTTGGCTACTCTAAATACCATTGCTATGAGCATAGGGGTGCTTATGTTCTTTCTATTTAGATGTTCAGGATTCTTCTTTTTCATTTTATTATAATGAAGTTTAACAGTACAGAAAAGTCACATGACCTTGGTGGGTCAGATTTCATAAACTCCGCAACATAAAGAACTCTAAATACATTAACTATCGTTACACATTCAGACTTCCAATGTACAGGTACTTGGAAATAGTTACAGCCCTTACTATGCTAGGTTGGGGACATGAAGTCCAAAAGCATCTAAAATGTTGTGAAGGCATAACTTTACAATAGCAGTGTAAGCTTACAGAAATTGCCTTTATTAAGGTGGTATGTTCATGTAATTCCAGCGCCTTCACAATATAATAAGCCACATTTATTATACTTCACTTCTAAAAACCTAGATGAAACATGAAAAAGAAGCCATACAGTATAAACTGCAACCTCAGGAAAAGTTCCTGTTTTATTATTCTAAGTAATTTTTTCCTATTTAAAATAAATGCCCAATAGTTCCTGATATGTGGGAAGATAATGTTTGTTAAAGTCACAATGAAGCCTTATTGATGGAAGCTTGGCTATATAAACAGCACAAGTTGAGAAAAGGTTTAATCTCCAAACCTATTATATTGGATGAAGTGAGATCAGTAACAGCCACCTTGCAACATTACAGGAGGTCTCATTGCCATCAGAGGCCAAGGAGGCCCACCTTTGTAAGGGGGCACCATTGGCGGTCCCTGCCCATATTGTGGCATAGTGCTAGGAAGGTAACCTGGCATGCCTTGATGATGACCACCATACTGACCATGAGGCGGCATTGGGGCTTCTCATTCCTTGTTGCTGTGGGATGCCTGGCTGTGGTGGCATACCTTCAATTGGCTCAACTGATGGATTACCAATGGGAGCCTGTCCTGGATGAGGAAGATTACATTGATATTTAGGTAACTGTGCCCTTCTCTCCTCCAGTGATATATCCTCATTAGGATGGATCAACTTACTGGTTGCACTGGTTGTTGTAAGAGTATCAGGCTTACTTGTTATTGAAGCCGCTGGTTTAGGGGCAGTGCTATTCGTTGTACTAGTGGTTGAAGCTGTAGGCTGTGTATAAGCAGGAAATGTAGGCTTCTGGGGTTCAGTAGTTGTTGCAGGGGTATTATCTAAGGGATTGAAATCTGTACCAACAGGTCCTTGAACAGCTTCCTGAGCCTGACCGGTGCTGGGAAAAAGAGGTTTAGTAACTGGAGGCTGTGGAGCAGGAACTGCTGCTGCTGGTGCAGGCGGTCTGTTAAGAATACCCAGTGCTGAAACAGCCTGTGCTTGTCATTGGAGGAATTCCAGGAGATGGAACAGGAGGGGGCATACTTGGTGGTATTCCAGGCATCAGAGGTGATATTCCTGGTCCAGGTGCCATTATTCCACCCATTGGCATCATTCCAGGTGGCATGCCTGGCATAATTGGTGGCATCCCTGACATCAGAGGAGGAAACTTGGCATAATGGAGGTATGCCTGGAGGCATTCCTGATGCTCCCGGCACCAGTGGTAGTCCTGGCTGTGCCACTGGGGGGATATTACCTTGTTGGGGTTGTACAGGCTGCGGCTGAAATGAAGTTGAAGCCGCAGAGTCATCATCATCATCATATCCATCAGAATCATCTTGTTGCTTATTTTTCTGACTTTCCTGTGTTTTATGTTTAAGAAGTTGTCCTCTTCCATCCATGTCTTTTTCTGGGATACCTTCCATACCATATATTTCCAACTCTGTTTCTGTTCTCCCGGGTATTGCATTTGGTACAGTGTCTATTGTATCTTTATGCACCTGCATGCAATGTATAGCCAAGCCAGGTCCTGTGTACAATTTCTTATGATATATATGGTATTTAAAATGTTTTGCTTTTTCAGTGTGGAATTTCCTCAAAAAGCTGAAAATGGAACTGCCTTTTGATCCAGTGATTCCCCTGCTGGGACTATACCCTGAGAACACCAAAACGCCAATACAAAAGAACCTATGCACCCCGATATTCATAGCAGCACAATTTACAATAGCCAAGTGTTGGAAGCAACCTAAGTGCCCATCAGTAGATGATTGGATCAAAAAATTATGGTACATATACACAATGGAATACTATGCAGCAGAAAGAAAAAAAGAACTACTAAACTTTGCGACAGCATGGATGGAACTGGAGAACATTATGCTAAGCGATATAAGCCAGGGGGCGAAAGACAAATACCATATGATCTCACCTATAAGCGGAACCTAACCAACAATGCAAAGATGCAAGAAAAATATGACCAGCAACACTGAAAGGAAAAGAAATCAACAGAGACAAGAGGGAAGGAGGGAGGGGGGAGGGGAAAAGGAAGGGAAGGGGAAAGGCAAGGAACATATAGCAAGGACTCATGGACAAAACCAGAGGGGAAGAGCTGAGGGAGGGAAGGAGGGAGGGGGCAAGGGAAAGTGGTGGGGGGTAGGCAGAGACAAATGTATTTGAAAAAATAAAATTAAATTAAAAAAATAAAAAATAAAATGTTTTGCTTTTTGCTGCTGTATAAGGATCTTCTCATCACCAAAACTTCTATTATAATACCAGCACCATTGCTTCAGCTGCTTCTTCTTCTTGTGATCCATAACTGGGCTCTACTGACAAAGTGAAACGGGAGGAGAAAATAAGCAGAAAAAACGAGGCCAAAATCGCTCACTCTTCAAACACAACTGCCATCACAGCGTCCCGCAGGAAATAGGCACAAAATCAGACGTTCAGGATTCTTATTAGATAGTCTCAGAAGTGGAATCACAAGGTCATAAAGCAGTTCCATTTTTAATTTTTTGAGGAAATTCCATACTGTCTCCCCCAGTGGCTGTACCAGTCCTCATTCCCAACAACAGTGCACGGGGGTTCCCTGTCCTCCACATCCTTGATGAGTATAACTTTTACCTACAACTCCAAGGTGTTTGCTTTTGGGGAGCCCACTTTATCTTCTCGTAAGTTCTCAGCATCTTGTAGAATACAGCGTTTGCCTATGAACAGTAACAGAGTTCCAGAAGCATCCAGAATTTTGTTGTTGTTATTGTTTGGCAAGAGCAGTACCACTTGAGAGCATCCTGAATCATACCCAGCACTTTACTTAATTTAGGTGCTCAGTAAATATTTGTAGAATAAATACTCAGCTATGCACCTCACACTTTAAAATCAAGAAGAAACATTTGCAAGCAAAACTAATTTTCCTACCCATCCTCTCATGCCCAAATCAAATCCTATCTCTTTTGTAAAAATGTCTTTGTTTTCTAAACTCAAAATGGATTTGTCTTGCCCTGGCTGGTGTGGCTCAGTGGATTGAGCACCAGCCTGCGAACCAAAGAATAGTGGGTTCAATTCCCAATCAGGGCACATGCTTGGGTTATGGGCCAGGTCCCTGGTAGGGGCGCATGAGAGGCAACTACATATCGATGTTTCTCTTCCTCTCTTCCTCCCTCCCTTCCTCTCTCTCTGAAAATAAATAAAAGTCTTTAAAGAAAAGACTGTGTGATTCTTAAAAAAAAATGGATTTGTCTTCATTTAAATTCTTTTATTTTTCTTTCAATTTTATTTTGTATTGTTTTCAGATGTGCAGCTTAGTGGTTAGACAATCATATACTTTACATAGTGTTTCCCTTAATGTTTCCAGTACCCCAACTGGCACCATACATAATTATTGCAATATTTTTTACTATATTACCTATGCTTTACTTAGTATCTAAGTTCTTTTAAAACTTAAAATAATTCAAATAATACCTAGCAGCAGTTTATAGAACAAAGAGATTGAGTTTTGGAATCAGGTGGACTTCAGTTCTGGAATCAGATGGAGTTGAGTTCAGTTCCCAGTTATGCCACTTGCTAACTGTGAATCCTTGACCAAGTGCCATGCCCTTTTGAACTTGAGTTTCCTCATCTGCAAAGTGAATTTTCTTATCTGTACTGATCTCATGGCATTACTATAAGGTTTAAATAAGATATTGTAGGCAATAGTGCTTGACATGTTTACTGGTATAGTTAATTTTTTTTCTTTTTTGTTAGATATTGATGTGAGCAGTAGATATTTCTGAAATGAGAGTAAAATAAATGTACCATGCTGTTAGCTTTTGCATTGCTATACATGGGGGAATGTGTCATTTTGATTCTGTGGCGGATTGGGTTGTAAGGAGCTAAGTGCAATCAATGGTTTACTTAGATGGATTTAATTCTCCCTGTTAACTCTTCTCAGTATTTCTTGCATTGCCTTAAGGGAAAGAAGCTAACAAGTACTGAGCCTTGTCCTGAGAGCTTTATGTAGGTTTACATTGCCTTAATAACACATTCCTCTTTCCCCTATTGTGGTAAGTAAATGGAAGCACAGAGAATAAATTATTTATTCTAATTACACAGCTTATAAATGGCAGCCAGAATTAGATAGATATTCTGATAGTATAGAGTAAGTATAGATATAGGTACAGATATTGGTATAGGTGTAGGGATATAGATGAGACTTGTTGCTGTACCTATGGCAAACAATTCTAGTTTTTGAATCCTGTAATTAGTGTGGCCAGGTGGCAATATTAGAGGATAGAGAATATCAGACCAGCAAAGTATATTACAGGATCTTGAGTTCAGTCTCCTCATTGGAACCTAGAGAAGGAAGAGATTTTGAAATAAGTGGCCACACTAAGGTGCTAAACCAGAGCTTCCAACCCAAATTGCAGTATTCTTTCCGATCCCAACCTCCCTTACTCTATGATATTTAAATAGATGACAGGGTCACTTGAATATGAGGGAGGCAGAAACTAGCTTGAAGGCCCAAGGGAAAGTGTTCTTTTTGGTGCATTCTAGAACATCTCCTAATATCACCAATAGGACACATGTTGGATTCTCTGTTTCCAGCAGGGGTACTGATCATAGTGACTTGGCTCAACACTTTTATTCAGTCCATCTTATGGCTAACACTTCCACAGATTGGCTTGCCTGCTAGAGATCTTCATTACTAGGATATACGTTGCGGGGGGTGGTCCTGGGTGAAAGGTCCTGCTGAGTGGGAAAACTCACCACTGTGGTTTCATTGACACCAGTGCTCAAATCAGCTGAACAATTTCTCACCCATGATTATGTAATTTGACAGTAATGGAGGGATTGCGAGAATGGGTTTCTGTATCAGGCAGTTCTGGGTCTCAGTCTAGTACCATTTACCAGTGATACGACCTCAGGCAGGTTACTTAATCTCTCTTAAACCCAGCACCCTCTCTCTTCAAGTGGAGATCATGATGATTACATTGGAAAGTCTTTGTAAGGATTAGATAACAGAATGTAAGTAAAGTGCTTGCAAAATTACCTGGTACTTAATAAAAACTCAGTAAATGAAAGTTAATTATAACACTACTCTTAACAATTGGCACTGAAGAACAAAGTTTTGCTTTATAGCAAGAAATTTTTAAACGATTTTATTTATTTATTTTTAGACAGAAGAGAAGGGAGGGAGAAAAAGAAGAAACATCAATGTGTGGTTGCCTTTCATGCACCCCCTACTCGGGACCTGGTCAGCAACCCAGGCATGTGCCCTGACTGGGAATTGAACCAGCGACCCTTTGGTTCACAGGCCAGCACTCAAGCCACTGAGCCACACCAGCCAGGGCTATAGCAAAATTTTTATATGCTATGCTATATATCAGGGCATGTAGCCTTCACTTTTCATTGAGGATCAATAGGGAGATACAGCTTGTTGTCTTCATCACACAATGAAAGAGAGAGAGAAAGGGAGAGGGAGGGAGGAGAGGGAGAGAGAGAGGCTATAAAAAAGAACCATACCACCATAGCTCCATAGCTGTGGGCTTTTTGGGGAAATGTAGTCACTGTCAACATGCATCAGCCTGGAAGAGAAGGAGCTGAGATAATAAAAACCTTCATCTCTCTCCTCCCACCTTTTTACTATTGGTTCTTATTAATGAACCATAAAGAAATTCAATAGTCCAGAGCGCTCACTTGGCCTAGTCCACACGGGTCAGTTTCACAGGGCACAGGAAAGTATGAAGAGGAGTAGAGATGAATCTAGATGGGTAAAAGAATAGCTATCATGAGAGCTAGCATTTCTTGAGAGGCTATTTTGTGCCTAGAACTGTGCTAGGCTCTTTATGTTCTTTATGTCACCTGGTACTCATGGCAGCCGTGCCAGTTGGGAATTACTGTCATTATTTAGTAGCTGTGTAAACAGAGCGTCAGAAATTAAAATTCCTATACTGAATTGTTGCATAAAATAAATAAGATAACCTTTGTATAGTGCTTCTGATTCTTAGATTTGTATATGCAATAGTTTATTCAACATTCTTAGAGATAAATATAAGATAAATAAGAACCAGTAACTGCCCTGCAGAAACCCTCAGAATCAGGCACTAACCAGAGGAAATGTAAAATGGCAAGATTACAAGAAGAAAAACAGAATTTCTTGTAACAAAATCTTTTGGGAAAAACCATTTTAGCAAGGGTTCTTACATAATAAACTGATATCTGTATCACACCTTATCATGTGCCAAGTACACTACTGTTGGTATTTCTTTACCCTCATTGCAACTTTGTGACATAAACATTGCTCTTATTCCCATTTCACCAATGATAAAACTGGTTCAGCTCATCTTCTCAAAACAAATAAGATCTTAAGGCAGACTAGGAAGCCAGGTTTTCTGCTACTGTGTTCATTTGTCATTTATAACTTAGCAGGTGCTAGGTGCTGAATGTATTACCACAGTTTTAGTTATGCCTCATACTTAGAATTTTAAACATTTTTCTAAAAAGGTTTTATCATTTTAGAGTCTATAGAAAAGGATTTGCAGGGCCTTATTTGACCAATTGTTAAAAAATAGACATTTTAAAAGTTCCTTCTATTAAACCTTTAAGTGCACACAGAAGTACTCCACATTCACAGACCCACTTCACTCTCACATCAATATGAGCCTAGTTTGACTACACAACTTTAGATACAACTGGGCAAAGGAAATGAAGTAAAAGCCCCAGATAATACACATGCAGAGAGAAATGGGATGCTTTTCTTTCACAAGGTATCAAGATTGGAAGGGACTACCTCCATCTGAGGCTTGAATCCCTTCTACTGTACCATTTCCAGGTGATCAACTAGTCATCGTTTCTGTATCACCTCTTCTTGAACTATTTCTACCGTATCAGGAGAACTGATTCTTTAGAACTTACTTTTGTGTGTGTTGGGCTGAAATTCGTCTCCCTCTGGCTTCTACCCACTGGTTTCAGCTCTACCTCCTAGGGCCACATAGGACTCTCTTGCTGCTCTTCTCTGTGAAAGCCTTTCGGAAGTTCAAACACACAGACCCAGTCCTACTTTTGTCTTATCTTCTCCAAGCTTATGAGTACAATTATATCCTTAACAAATGAGGGGAAGGCAGCAAAGGTTGAGGCTTTCTATAACCTCCATCTAGATTCAGGCATAAGACTAGTTAGTTCAAGCCTTGTCTACAACAATTAGCTGATAGTTCAGCCATTCCCCCTGAATAATGACCTTTAGTTTGTATGAAGTAGTGATGAGAGACTGAACCTTCAGGGCCATGCAGAGTTGGAGTTCCAGGTTTGTCACTTAGTAGCCACTTGGAGACCTTGGGGG